TTTCATGTAACTGGAACTCGTTCGCCGCCGCCAACGTGTTTCGGGAATAGGGTGTTTAGGTGCCGGTCTGAGCGCTACTCGGATTTTATAGCGGGGTGACTTGTCCTCCGCCGACCCCCAAAAACTATATAAATAAACAGTAATCAGAATAGAGTTTTTAGACTAGCAGGGGAACACAGAATATAGCCCCCCCCCCACCCTTCATCTTTTTCATGTAACTGGAACTCGTTCGCCGCCGCCAACGTGTTTCGGGAATAGGGTGTTTAGGTGCCGGTCTGAGCGCTACTCGGATTTTATAGCGGGGTGACTTGTCATCCGCCGACCCCCAAAAACTATATAAATAAACAGTAATCAGAATAGAGTTTTTAGACTAGCGGGGGAACACAGAATATATGATTGCAAAGCAGACGGTTGCCTTGCTCTTCGAAAACCCTTCGAAAATGAAGGCAATCCCGTTTGAAATCACACACGCAGGCCCCCCCGGCTAAAACGCTGAAAAGAAAACCGGCGACGGCGCCAACTCACCCGGTGAGCACGACCACGAAGTCCATGACGTTCCAGCCGTTGCGCAGGTACGAGCCCTTGTGCAGCGCGAAGCCCAGCGCCAGGATCTTGATACCCGACTCAAAGCAGAAGATGGCGATGAAGTAGGGCTCCGTGTCCTCCTGCGGCGCCAGTGGGAAACGGGAAGTGAGGAACCACACGGCGGCGCTCGAGCGCGTGGACGCTCTTACCAGTCGCTCGGACAGAGGCGTCTTGTCGTCGTCGGGCAGGTGCTGCTCCAGCGCCAGCACGATGCAGTTTGCGATGATTGTGGTGAGGATCATCCATTCGAAAGGAGTGGCGGGGACAAGTGGGTCAAGGCGAAAAATAAACGTACTCGCGCGGACAGCTTTAGCATTTCATACACGTGGATTAAAAAGGAAAGTGATGAAATGAAGAAGAGAAAAAAAAAAAAAAGATCCGGTGATTGTAGCTTCAAAGCAAAAACTGGACTTTCGGTGCTTTTTCTGCCGTGGGTTTTTTTGTGGGTCTATTCACGATGCACATGGCAAACAAATGAAACGTGAAGTGGACAAGATGAATTTGTACAAGCATGAAACTTTACGGCCAGCCTCTGCCGACACACACACACAAAAAAAATTGTCATTTCAACTTCCTTGTAATTTAGTGCTGTCCATCTGGCTCATGTACGTGGTTCAATTTTGGTAGCAATACAACAGATCTCTTGAAAAAGTCAGCAAAAATAAATACATAAATAAGTGAGTTGATTTGACAGAAAATGGCACACTTCCTGTGGGTTTTTGGGCATGGCTTTTGGAGGCTTTTTTTTTTTTTATCACGACCTGACAGTCATCCCCACCAAATTTCACTTTGTCAAGTGAAACTAGCTTTGGGAGCCGAATTATTTTCCAAAACTCTGACGGGCCAGACGGAAAAAAACAAATTCGCATATCAAGTCATCAGGATGAAACGTTGCTGGCGTGCTCAGCCGATCGGCATCAGCAAAACTTCAACTTCCTTCCAATTTTGCATTGTCGACTTTCAAACTTTAAAGCACTTTAAAACAACCGCCGCTCTATACGAAGTGGAGCAAAAAGAATTCCTACAAATTTTGGTAGCAATCCAACGAAAACTTGAAGCAAAAATTTGTCCCCCCCCCACCCCCCACATGATAAGCACGCCAAGCAAATTTCTTGCAACCAAGTGAAACTGCCAATCTGAATTTCTCAAAAACACTCGGTCTAGGGGACATGACTGAACCAAATTCCATATTTCACCAAATTGACCTAAAAACGACTTCTTGTGGCGGCCCGGTGGTGTGGTGATTAGCGCGTCGAGCTCACAGTGCAGAGGTTGTGGGTTCGATCCTGACTCCGGCCTTCCTGTGTGGAGATTGCATGTTTCTCCGGGTACTCCAGTTTCCTCCCGCATTCCAAAAATATGCACCGCGGGCTGATTGAACACTCCAAATTGTCCCTAGGTCTGAGTGTGAGCGTGGATGGTTTTTCATCTCTGTGTGCCCTGCGATTGGCTAGCAACCTGTTCAGGGTGTCCCCGCCTAATGCCCGTAGATAGCTGGGATAGGCTCCAGCACCCCCCGCGACCCTCGTGAGGATAAAGCGGATCGGGAAATGGATGGATCGATGACTTCTTGGAACACTTTTGCGGGCCTGCTCACGACCGACAATTTTTTGTTGCTAAGCGAAACTGCCTTCGGTTGCAGCATTTTCCGAAAACTCTTTTTCACACCGCCACAGCTGCACAGAAGCGGCATCCAAGTGTTCTGTTGTGATGTGCGCGAGTCCGCGCCTGAGTAACGGCCGCCGGAGGGGCTCCGCTGACTGGATACATCTAGACGGATCAAGCCTGCGCCTAATTGGTCGGTCATTATCCTGTTAGCTTAGCGTGCGCGCGTGTGCATACCAGACGCAGGGTTGACACCGACGCGACGGCCCGAGGATGGCCTCGGTGCATCTTTGATGTGAGACGATGAGACAGGTGAGCGTGCCAGATACTAACAAGCCCCACACAGAGTCAATGTGGCGGCTCAGAACCTTGCGGTGGTCTTCCCATGCGGTGCGTCTTGATTTTTAATCGCTCCGGTATCTGTGTGTGTGTGTGTGTGTGTGTGTGTGTGTGTGTGTGTGTGTGTGTGTGTGTGTGTGTGTGTGTGTGTGCGCTCGCGCGCGCTACATGCTAGCCTGCTTGAGCATCTATTATTCACGAGGCACTCTGCTGGCCTAACAAGCTGCTGAAAGCAGGAGGCAACGATGGTGCGTCTGCGCGAATGCTGTGCCCATCCCTGCACTACTTTCTTCGTTCACGTGTTCATATTTTTGGTTGAACATGTTGATTACATTGATCATAGACCGCAACGTGGTCAACCGTCAAGGTCAGCAAGGCCTTCTCGCTTGCCTACAGATTTTATTCCGGACGGTGAACGCTCCTTATTTTTTATTTTATCTCTTGGCAGCACTGCTTCCAGTGTATGTGAACGTGAAGATTTTCAAGATTTTTTTTTTTTGCGCACTCATACACACGCTCCAAATAAATAAAAATATTTTAAACGTGCTAACCAACCGCATCCTGCTAGCTCAGCAACCATAAAGCCGTCAACACGTGATGGCCGACGAGACAACACACAGACACGCACGCGCGTGCGCGCGCGCACACACACACACACACACACACACACACACACACACACACACACACACACACACACACACACACACACACACACCCACACACAGGGTTCACCTGAGCCACAAATCTTAAGATCAAACGTCCGGCCAAGTCGCTTCCTGAACACACACACGCACACACACACACACACACACGCGCGCACACCGAAGTGCGTTGGCATTGGTCATACTCACTAGAAGACTTTCAACGCGTGCCCATGTCTGTTTCAATTCACGATGAACGCTCCGGAAATGAGGACTTGGGCAGAGAGGACAAGCGTCACATCAGCACCTTCGACATTGGTCACAAAGCGCCCGCGCGCACGCACACTGCATGTGCATGCATAAATGCTGCTGCGGTGACTCATCAGGCCGGTGAATCACGCGGATCTGATTTTGAATCGGACTCTCTCTCGCTCGCTCGCACGCACACGCAGGATGTGGAAGGAGTAAAGACGTTAGGCCGAGCTCAGGGGTGTCCTAACTTTTTCCGCCTTTTCAGAAAAGTGGATGGATGCGAAGGCCGCTTTGAAATTGTTTGATTTGAACTCATCAAACACACTGAAATCAAGACATGAATTTTCATTTATTTTGGAAACTGCTCCAGTGAACATAAAAAGTCCGCACACCCCTGTTCATTTGCCAGGTTTTGGTGGTCTTTTCAAAACCTTTGCTACCGTTAACGTGACGCATAACATAAATTAACTCAACTGAAAAATCTTTCGGAGGTGGGATGCAAACATTTTTGAAATAATTTATCGACACAAATTACTTTTTTTGTGGTTCTTCAGACGTTTTTGTCTGTCTTCTCATTTTAGACATTCTTGCCAAATGTCATGTTGCCAAGCTAGCATCAGGGGCAAAATTTTCCAACGTTGATTTTCACCAAAACGGGTTTTACTTCCCCAGCCATTGAACGAATGGCTTTAACACAAATTAACTTTCCTATATTCCATGCAAACGTACAAAATATTCCAACAAGCTTAAATCATTAAAGCTCTTAGTGCGATGCTAACGCCTTTAACGTTCTCAGTTCTGCCATCCTTCCTCTTTTCATTTCTAATCCATTTTGTGTCGCCGACATCAGCTCCGTCATTCCGCGCGCTCACATTAAATCCGCATTACACGGGATCAGCCTTGGATGGAGAAAAAAAAGAAAAAAACGTCCTTGCTGGTTCCGTCTTCAGGGGAGGATTTGAAAAACTGATGTCATCTCTCTGCTTCCCAGGTGAGCCTCAAATAATTAAGCCGAGCAAGTCAACCCCAAATTGTTAATTAAATGGTGTGAGCGTGCTTGTGTATGTATGTGTGTGTCCAGAGGATTAAAGACCATAATGATTAACTTTTTTTCCCCCACCTTCTCCGAACACATTTTTACTTATGCGGCTCCGCCTACGCCCCCCAAAGAGCCCCCCCCCCACACACACACACACACGCACAGAATTAACCAGCCGTTTCAAGCTCAATGTTTCAAAGTCTCTTGCACGAACAATGCTAACGCTAGCATGCTCAAGGGTCAGAAAATGAAAGTTCGCTTTGTATATGTAGATGTGATTTGCCAAATTGTGAGCCAAAGGTTCATAGGCCTAGAATATATTGACAACTTGCCAAATGGTGAGCCAAAGCGTAACAGAGTAGATTGATAATTTGGCTTGAATGCGCCAAATCGTGAACCAAACATTTAACAGAATTGATTGATTCGTTTTGCTGAGACTTGGATTTGCTAAATGGTGAGACGCAATGTTCGAGAGACTTGATTGATGAATGCTGCAGAGTATTGGACCTGACAGCGTGTTAGTCGACAGCAAATGACAGTGACAGCTGTGCAGGAGTGGCTTCAACTTGCCAAAAAGTCAGCCAATGCTGACCAGAGGAAAGCGAGCGGTGTTACAGTGGCTTTAACTTGCCAAATAATGAACCAATAGTTTTTTTTTTCCCCTCAATAGGACAGACTCCTATTACAGCGGCCTTGAATTTGTTCAATAGTGAGCCAGTGTTTCGAGAATTAATTGACAAGAGCTGCAGCACTGGCTTGAACTTGCCAAAAACGTGAGCCAAGAATTAAGATGCGAGTGACTAGTAGTGCAGTGGCCTTGAACTTGTCAAATAGTGAGTCCATGTTAAAAAGAGTCCATAGCCTGGCGTCATCATGGCTTGAACTTGCCAAATATTGAGCCCAAAGTTGAACAGTCTCAACGAGGGCTCCAGTAAGGTTTGTGCCTGCCCAAAAGCTTCACGCAGTACATTTACTCTTGCCAAATAGTGCGCTAAAAATTGTCTGGCTTGCATGGCAGGAACGTGCCACAAAGAGTGAACCAATGCTGAAGGGAGTTAACTGACCAGAGGGTTACAGTGGCTTGGAATTGCAAAATACTGGGCGAAAGATCGGTGGTTCTTAAGCTTTTTTGAGGTACCGAACCCAACCAGTTGCAAAGGCTTTGACTTGCCAAATAACAAACCAAAATTGGAACGGACTCCGTTGACGGGCGTTGCAATGGCATGGACTTTCCAAATGATGAACCAGTAGTTCGGCAGAATCAACGAACAGGTGTGGCAAAGACTCGGACTCAGACTTGGCAAACAGTGAGTCTTTGCTCACTTGCCAAATAGTGAGCAAAGACTCACCAAGCCGCAGTGGGAACGGCAATACAA